GTAAAAGAAAATCTCAACACATTCACATAAGCTAGAGCATTGGAAAAGAAAAATGCAGATTCAACGCGAAAATTGGCAAGAATAGGAATTTATTGATTGAATTTGGCACCACACCTCTTCTTCTTTTTTCTCCCAATCTTGGAACTCAGCCCGAGCACATTCTCTGGCTAGCAGTGCCTGCAGAAAGAAATCAACTTTACTTAACCGAAAAGCAATGTTAGACCAATTAGGAAAAGAAGAAACTATAAAAGTAAAAGTATCATTTCCAATGGGAAAATGCATTCAGAGTATCACTGCCAAGGGGTGTATTTGGAAGTGCTTTTACAATAACTGAAAGCGCTTTTGGAACCAATCCTTAGTAAAAATCCAAGTGAATCCTGGAAAAGCACTTCAAGTGCTTCTTCCAAAATGCACTTCAAGTGCTTTTGGAACCCAAAAACACTTTCACCAAAAGCACTTTAATTTTGAAAGCACTTCCAAACATGCCCAAGATCTTCAATGAAAAAATATAATCCATACCAGGCAATAAACTTACCATTTCCTCCTCATGTTGTGCTTTCTCAAGTGCCCTTTCTTCCCTTCTTTTCTTGACCTTTTCAATCTCCGCCTGAAGGATGAATTTGTATTAAAAACATTAAAATTATAAAGATACAAACTGAACAACTATAAATTACGGAAGCCAAAAATCCCATGTTTTAATCATAGAATCCATTTAGTTTGCAACCACAGGCCGCAAAATGGCACTGAAAAGGATTGGTCTTCTGATATATTAAATAGTTGTAACAAAGCCTAAGTGATATGTTTATTAATTATAGCAAAGCCAAAGTCTTCATTAAAATTATAAGCTATCCTGTTCCTATTTTATCTTACTATTTAACTTACTTCTGCAGCACGTCCCTCATGAAAAAACTTTTCAGCACATGGGTTACTGGATAATGGGATGGTTTCTACACTCTTGTTGTTCTTCATACTAGCTAAGCACGTGCTCCACTAAAAAGTAATTTAGCAGGAGGGTAACTGGATGTAAATGGTTTCCTAGAGTCTTGTTCTTGTTCTTGTTTCTGCTGTCAATGAAGTAGATATGCAGCTACAATGAAACAGAACCTGGTTCGTCCTAACCAAGGCATGGGATTAATCTCTTTGGAATACAATACATAATACATAAACATGAAAGGTTGATACATATATGTTTAAGAATTGAACTGTTGTTTAAAGAGATATATCTAATACCAACCCCCTCTAACAGTCAGGTAAAAATTAATACAGGATGAGTATAACATTGGTGACATGGTATCAAACAACCAGAGGTGCGGATAAGGCTTGTGTGTAGCATAAGGGTTGGCTTTTAGTCCTTTCCCAAAAGAAGTAGACCTTATGGTATGTACCCTTCTTAGCCATTGGTGCATTAAGGTTTAGTTCGCCGACAATGATAGAGTTTCTGTAAAGGGTATTGAATAAAAGCAGAAATTCGGTAAGGTAGTAAACTTGCTCAGTGCCTCATAATATAAGAGAACTTGCCACATGTCTAACTCTCGTTTCCATATTAAATGAGCCATTCACATACATGCAGTACACAGTTACCTAAGAGAAAGAGTAACCTTGAGAAAAGGAAAGAGCCTCACTGCAGGGCTTGTTCCCTTTGTAATCCTAGCAATTTCAAATGCCTCTCTTGCCTCGTAATTATCCTAAAAGGTTTATTGAGATATCAAAATGCTTATGCCCTAGTAAATTCTTTTCTATCTGCATCCAATCCGTAGTGAGTAGGGGTGTGCACTTGGAACCGAAAACCAAAACCGAAACACGCACGAAACTGGACCGCACCAAACAGTTTGATTTTTGCAGTTTTGAAACTGAACTGCAAGCTAAAAAACGGTTTGGTTTTGGTTCTTAACATCTGGAACCAAACCGAAACCACACCACACCTGATAATATAAAAATATATTTAATTTAATAGCCAATTAGATGTTGGGGTGAAATTGAACTTGTATTGCACTCAAAGACACTTCAATTTCCTTGTAATCTTACATTTCTTAGGTATCAAGTAGCATAATATATTAGACTAGGCTTTTTAAAGTTTATAACAACAAATGTACTATATATTGTTTTATGTTTTTGCATTGTGTAAAGTTGGCCAACTTGAATTTAAGCATCACCTCTCTTAGTCTTAATCCACCACCAACAACAAGCTCCAAGGCAACATGCTTCTATTTCTCAAGCTTCTAGTTCACAAGGTTCAATGGTGTATCCATCGGTTTCACTTTCACAGGGTCCAATGAATTCCCAAGTACCGCTTTCTCAAGCTCAAAGGCCTCCTAAACCTTTGCATAGTAAGTGTCCAAAAGGAAAGGGATCGGGACAAGGTTAAACGATTCAAAGTAGTGACTTGAAACACTAAATTTTTTTGTTGAATTGCGTGATCAATTTATTTTTTTTGGGGTTGTACTAATGCCAAAAGGCATTTTGACGTTGAACTTTGTTTGAACTTTAATTTTAGTATGGTAAACTTAACTTTTTCAATTGGATTGTACTAAAGTAATGTCATAAGGTATTTTGATGTTGAACTTTGTTTCAATTTGAATTTAGTATGGTGATCATCCCGAATTTTTGTTCAATTGTGTTGCACTAATGGCATAAAGCATTTAGTTTGCATATGACTCGGTTTTGAACTTTTGAGTTCGTTTGAATGTTTGTATTAATGCCAATTTTTCAACGGGCCTACAATTGAGGCACAAACCGAAACCAAAACTGTTTGAAACTGAACCGAACCAAAATCAAACTGTTTGGTTCCATTTTGGTTCTTACCCCAAAACCACACCAAACCAAACTGAAATAAATTTTGGTTTCGGTTTTATCCTAAAACTGCATAACCGCATGCATAAGCTCACAGTAACCCGTCAATTTGTGATACAACTTGGAATTTTCCTTGGAAGGTATCGGGAAGGAATTGGAATGTAATAATAACTAATTACATAGACCCATTTGTACAGAAACAGGAAAAAGGTTCTCAGTCAGTATTAGACTTCGTACAATGCCAACAAACTTCGGCAGCTAAGCTTGTCATTCCATGTAATCCATCTTATAGTGCTCCAACAACTAATGCTGATTCCAGTAAGTTATGAGATAAAATCGAATTTTTAGGTCATGAATTTCAATCAAATTCTCCAGGGACCTTCCAACAACAGAATAAAATTATTTCCACATCATATGAAATTCTATTCTGAGCATAGTCTCTAACTTATGCATCTGACATTTTAACTGAGTGCAAATTAAAAGTCCAAAACCTATAAACCCTTATTTAAGACTAATACTGCCATAACCACAAGGAATAGAACACAACAATTAACCATAAGCTTTCTATAACCTATTGCTTCACAATGCCAACTAACTTGCAACAGCCAGTCCAAATGTGATCTATAACCAATATAACCAGCGAATAGAGTCTAAATTCCAAAAATTTAATGAACACTTACATCTCATTGAGAGCCCTAGTGGATTGCATACCTTCTTCTGTGCCTTCCTGGCCAAGTAATCCGCGATTTGCTCCTCCGTAACATTCTTCGACGACCTCTTCGTCTTGCGGTCACGGTCCTCGCTCTCATCGCTGTCGTACGACCCGTCGTCGGAGTCCTTACGGGGGCTGCTTTTTCTGCGGTTGCTTCGTTCCCTGCGCTTCCTGGAGCTCCTCGCCGGAGAGGAGTCGCGGATATCGGAATCATCAGACTCGGTATACGATGCGGAATCGGAGTCGTCGGATCTTCTTTTGCAGCGACTCTTGGAGGGCGACGACGGCGGCGCCTCCTTACTGCTGCCACTGCGTCCCTAAGGGTGCGTTTGGTACGTGGGACGGGACGGGACGGAACGGGACGAGGCGTTGGCGTTCCGTCCCGCGTTTGGTGCGCCAAAAATGGGTGGAACGGGCTGTTCCACGGGACAGATTTTGGGTGTTTTTGCGTTCCACCTCCCCCCGGAACGGGTTTGTTCCACGTCTGTGGAACACAATGTTTTACCATTTTAAGACAAATATACCCCATGTCTTTTTCAAAAATTACACCTTCGTTCCGTCCCGTCCCGTCCCGTCTGCGTACCAAACGCACCCTAAGATCCCATGTTTCGCGGTAATAAATTTCCAGAGGTTTATTTGGGTTTGTATCGAAACAAATGGATATACAAATTAAAATTGGACAATGTCGGGTCATATTTCGGAGGCCCAAAAACCGGCCCATATTTATTATCATATGCCTATAAACATAAAAAAAAGCGGGAAAGCTGTGACACGTGTGACAAGTTGCCTCTTTTATTTCAAAGGTCTTGCCGCTTAAATTTTAATTTTTTTTATACGTTAAGAATTAGGTTACGGCACGACACGAAGTGGTTTGGTTCGATTTATATCTTTAAAACGTACACTTAAACAAACATCTATAGTTCCAACATCTATAGTTGGAGTTGATACACAATTAGACGAGACTGTCTTAAATTCCAATGAAATGTGATCCATGAGTTTTGTTACACAAAAGATCTTAGGAAATTGCTTGAAATTACCATTTTATTAATCTTGAGACTAAAATAGGATTTTCTAAATATGCACAGAACATACACACGACATGTACAACAATATGATAAAAATAGAATTTTTCTAAAACTTAAAATGACCAAATTGTCCTCTTATATAAATAAGTTATTGCGAAAACCTAGTCAACATAACCTCTCTCGCGACCCCTGCTCGATGAATGGCCCTAAACTGCCCAAGCATCGCTCTTTTCGATTGGTCTCTCTCTTTCATCTCTTTCTCTTTCTCTCTCTAACTTGATCATCGTCTTCATTTTTGGTTCTAATTCTAATTAATTGTTTTTTGAGTTGGAACCAAACCAATCCATTAGTAACCAGTTTGGTTCTATTGTTTCGTCTCCCTTGACCATCAATGTATCAAAGAGAAGTACGGCTGTGAAAATCCTTCGGGCTCTATCTTTCGTCAATTGATGAGATTATCATGCAACAGAAAATTCAAATCAAAACAGATAATTATGTTTGCCAAAATATTAAAAGCACTTGAATCCAAAACCGCAAAATATTAAGTTCTGAAACTTCATCAAATCTATCATTCCTACTACGATACCAGAGTAATCTATAGCAAGGAAACGCTTAACGTTCTATGAAGGAAGAAAAATACTCCGCTGTGCGAACAAAAGACCAGTAAAAGCAAACACCGTGACGGGCCAAAGACGGAGAAGGTGCCAATCTGGTATAAAAAATTCTCTCTCCCGGAGCTTGAGCTACGGAAAAGCCTCTCACCATCGCCTATTTTCAATTGACTGCAACCTCAGCAGATAGATAACTCGGATGATTGTTATCTTTGTTAGGTACTTTGGTCTTCGACATCCTGAGCACCTGAACTGCTTCTTCCACTTTCGCAGTCAAGGAGTCCGGTGACTCCAATAAATTCAGCAGCTCTGAGTTGTCCATTTCAAGTAGCATCCCAGTTATCTTTGAAGCTAGGTCGGCCTGCACGTAAAAGTGTTGAGTAAATGTTAGTCTCGGTCCTCAAGCAGCCATTGCGTTTGGTTGATGGTGTATTTGGAAATTTTAAAAGGTCATTAAAACAGCATCAAGAAGATTGGAATTTCTGAGGGAGCATTAATACTGCTAGAGATGACAACTATAGAAACTTCTAAACGGGTCAATGTGGCAAAAGCGTCACCTTTTGTTTATGGACAAGTGGATAGAGCTGCTCGCCAAGTATCTGTTTCTGCTGCTCGGGAGAAGCGGCAGCAAGCATGCTACTCAGCATCTCCGGTTGAACGACAACTCCAACAGAATTGGAGGCAGCAGACGAGACTCCTCCTTTATTCATTTCTCGTTGACGCCCATTAGGAACAGACTTAGCCTGCCCTGTCCGCTGCAATGAAAGGCAAGCACGGATTAGAACTTCACGAGTAACAGATGGACACATCAGGCATACTTGAAAGCCGGGGAAACAAATATTCATCTCGGTCCTAAGGACTACTAAACTTTTTGGTTTTTTACTCATTATTATTTTCGAAGAAACCAAACAAGAATAAAAGCAGATCTGGTTTTATAGGTTCGTTAAGTGCTGAAAGGTGTAAATTCTGCAGTTATAGACAAGGCCGACACACACACGAGTAACAAAAGCTTGTTAGGAAAAGAAAACAAACCTGCTGATTGTTTGAATCTTTTGCAGAGTGTAGCAACGGATTGGGCTGTTGTAAATGTGGCATATATGCGCCTCCCTGAGGAATCATATGCCCGTTCATTCTTCCCCTATTTTGCCTATGTTGTCGTGGAGCATTAGGAATCTGCAGATGCGATTTTTAAGTTAGCATAAGCATAATTGCTATGACAACTAGGCATAGGAAAAATGGTACTCACCACAGGACCCAGTGGTGGTTGATAGGCTGGTCCAGATGTAGGTACAAAGCCATTGGGTCTCCATCCTGGCCACAATCCCAAAGGTTGATACATCAATCCCGCTCGAGGAGGCACTTGTGGAGCAACCCCAGAGGGAGCTTGATAGTAGATAGGAGGGTATCCACCAGGGATCACAGTTGGTGAAGGACCTGCAAATCCTGCCAAACGCTGTGCATACTGAAGCTGCAGCTGCGCTTGTCTCTCCTCTTTCCGTTGGGCAATAGCCACATACAATGGCTTCCGATGAAACATATATCCTGTGAAATAACAATGGCAACACGATTAGCAGTGTGAAGAAAACATGACATACAAGGGCATTAGGTAATCCGAGGTTAAAATACTTACCGTGAAACAAAAACCATAAATTGAAACACAAACTTATTTATAAGTCTATGCATAAAAATTATAGCGCAGCAGATATTATAAGATTAAAGAAGAAGAACTTAGAACGTGTGTGTTCGATTGTCATAAAACGTTGTAAAGATAACCACCAAATATTGAAACTGAGGAATGTTACCATATAAATCTAAGGTTAAAAGCAACAGATCCGTGCAATCAACTTATTACCATGAAAAGTATTCACAGCTTTATTGCCCTCCTCAGGGGTAGAGAAGCAGATAAAACCAAACCCCTTGCTTATTCCCTTGTCGTCTCGCATAATTTTTGCAGAAGTAATCGTACCACATTGACTAAAGTGTTCTGCCAGCTCTTCTTCACTGACATCGTCGTCAATGTTCTTCACATACACATTTGATCCCTACATATAAAACAAAGAAACACAAAGATGAGATGCTACTATAACCCTGTTTGATTCGCGGAAATGAATTGGTGGGAAATCAATCCCCATGTCATTTCCCAAGAGATGGGAAGTGGAATGGGATTTAGGGTTTAGGGTCCTAAACCCTAAACCGAATATGCCCACTATTCATTTCCCATGTTTACAATGCCCTTTTCTTGTAAACCTAATGGAGGCAAGAAATCTTTGGGAAAGAAAAGAGAAATCCAAACTACCTTGAATTTTAACATTTGCTCTTTTCGTTTTTCCTCAAACTGCCAACGCAAAAGATGCTCGCGCTCTGCCTTTTTCTGAGCCCTTGCAACATATAGAACCTTGGAGCCTACTCAAAATAAACCGCCGGACCAAATATTAAAGGTCCGTATAAACAAATCCATATTTCCAACCAAATTAATGCCATAAAAAAGATGCGTAATTTACCAAGTTGTGATCCATTCATTCCTTCCATTGCTCGTCTAGCATCATCTGGGTTCTCAAAGTTCACAAAACCGAAACCTCTAGAGTTCCCATGGTCGTCCTTTGCAATCGCAAAGCTAACAATTTTCCCAAACTCAGAGAACTTCTCCTCCACAAGCTCTTCCTTGAGAGTTGGATCCAAATTCTTCATATACAAATTTGTATATTTAATATCAGGATTGGGCAAAACTCGATCGCTCTTTCTAACAAATTTCGCAACATACCTGTTACATGAGTTGTAATTATTGTATGATTAATACCCAGAAGACATCTTTCAACAGAACAGGAAACAATAAATAAAAAACTGCACATACAGCTGCTTGTTTTTGACAGTTGTGCCATTTAGCGCCTCAATAGCGGCAATCGCAGAATCCTCAGACTCGAACTGAACAAAGCCATAGCCTTTACTCTTCCCGTCATCAAACATGGCCACTTTGCAAGACAAAGTACGTCCGAACTTCTTAAACATTTCTTCAAGCTCTACACTATTAATTGATTCGCTCAAGTTCTGCAACAGAAAACCAAAATATTTTTACCATAAATATTCACATCAGAGAAAAACTACACATAATATGGAAGTATGCTCTCCATGACTTAGGGTTAAAGCAACATGACATACCTTGACAAACACGTTCCCAATTCCACTTCTTCTTGCATCGGGATCACGATGAGACCACATGACCCTTATCACTCTTCCATTAAGAATTGAATGGTTCATCACTTCAAGAGCTCGAATTGCTATTAGAGAAAAACCAAACGCGATTAGAATAAAATTAAGACCACATACACAAGAACTTGTGTATGTGCCCACGCGCGCAAACTCATGTGTATGCGCGCGTGAGTGCATGAGAGGAGTTGTCCCTCCTTACAAACCAAACAGATCGGTTAAGAAAGCGCACACAGCCCAACCATCAAACAGATCAAAATTACAAAATCGTAATTCATAGTTTTCTATTTCACAGTGCATATGGATTTCCAAATTCCAACAATAATAACAAAAGAATCTCAACACAAATCATATATTAAAAAGGTAAGTACATAAAAACTCAATTCAAAACTGAAAAATAAAAAATTAAGAAAAATGTATCCTATGTTTCCATTCAGAAAACAAAATCAAATTACTGCAAACAAAAAACGACCTTCTTCAGGTGTGGTGAAGTTGACGTAGCCATAGCAGAGAGAACAGTTGGTGGCGGTGGCGGTGTCCCTGCAGAGCCGAACGGACGTGACACCCTTGAAGCCTTTGAAAGCCTCCTCCAGCTGAACTTCGGTCATGTACGGATGGAGGTCTCCGACGTACAGCGACGCCGCAGGAACACCCCCCGCCGTCGGCCCAGCCCCCACCACCGTCTGGGAATTATTAACGGCCATGATCGCAGGCAGAAATTTCAAAAACAACCAAAAAAAACAATGCCCGGCCGGCGTTCTCTTGGGTTCTTTAATGTACAGTAATTGCTCCACCAACTCTTAGAGAGAGAGAGGGAGAGAGTGGTTCTGATGAGTGAGAAAGTAGGGAGGGGAACGGATGGGAATTTTCTCTTTTATGGCTATTTTTTTGGATTTTTTCTGGAGAATTTTGGAGAGGTTAGAGAGAGACCCAACCTGTGAAGATGAAAGTTTTTTTATTTTATTTTATTTTATATATTTTCATTTGCATGGATGTTGTTGGGGTCCTTTTCCACAAGGATTCATTCCCATGAGAGGAGTGTGGACGCGCGATTCGGCGCGTGTTGGTACGCCATGAAACGACGTGGCGTTCCTTGAATCGGAAGCCCCGTTTACGGAAATTCCCAATTTTTAAGGACATTTGTTGGTTTTGTTTGGAGGACTTTTGGAATTTACACAATTTTAAGGAATTTTTCGCAATTTAAAGGAAATTTGGTATTTTTGGTAATAAAAGTTTCAAGGAATGTTATCTATTTTCTAAATAATCCATCATTATTACTTTGCCTAAAAACTAATTATTGACGTTGAATTATGTATGAAAAAGTAATAGTTACCAATGAATACTACGAGAGCATGATATGTACTATTGTGATTTAAGTATTATTCTTCACACATTCGTAATATAAGAGCGCGTAAATTATACTACTTTGATTGAGTTCTATTTCTTCACACACTTATCATAATATAAGAAGGGACGTGAATGCCGTTTCTCAAATTCAAGAACACTTAAATGATAATTTTTTGTATAGTGATTAACGGTTTATTATTACTGACATTATCTACACTCTTTCAAAGTATGCTTAAATTCACGAGTGTATAAAATCGAGATTAAACAAGAAGTCCTCATAGAACTAAAGCCTTATATTTTTTTATACAAAAGAAATTCAATTTTGAGTTGGATATGAACTAAAACTAATACAAAAGAAATTCAATTTTGCGTTGGATATGAACTAAAACTAACTGAAATTAAAATTAAAAATTAAAAAAAATAAAGAATAAAAGGATTGTGATCTCCCAAGTCCTAATCGGACCAAGACCAGAAGAAGCATGAAAATAGGTCCCACATGTGGAACGAGAATGCCACGTATAAACGAGAGAGTGGGGAACGGGATAAATAAGCGGGGCCCAAGAGCGTAAGACTACTTCAACTGTTCACACAACCATTTCTTCGTAGGGATTATCGGCATTTTTCACAACCAGGATTTTAACTCAAACATTGCCCTCTTTCACGCTCACAATCCCTTTCCCTCACTGATTTTCTCCTTTTTTTATTTTTTTTTTATTTTCATTTTTTTTATATAAAATTTATAAAAAGAAGAAAATTTGTAGTTCGCACATGTAGCTTTTGATCTAAGTCACACAATGAGTGACTATAATAATTTGGTATTGATTTTGTCAATTTTTTTTTAACAAACGATATCAACTATACTAAGGGGCGGGAGTGGGCTTTGCCTCACAATAAGCTAGCAATAATGTGATTCAAATTCGCATTTGGTGAGAATCGAATCTAAGACCTCTCACTTACAAATGAAGAGGAATATTATTAGACCGTAGTACTAAATGCCTTGAATTTGTCAATTAAAACTCTTACTTATAAAGAAGAAAAATATTACTAAATCGTAATGGTAAGTGATTGATTGAACGATAAATAAGATAGGTTAGTTTAAAAAAGAAAGTTTCCATGCTTGCATCATAATTCCAATTCATGATTTACAAGTTGGTAACAGTTAGCAATAGTAGGAAAATATCTCATGAGTTTATATTTCCCGATGTCTCTCTTTTCACGTAACAAGAAATCCTGATACATCAAGTTGTTCTCTCTCCAACTCTCTCCTTGCCTGATAGAGAGGATGGGGATGCGCCTATTGTATGGAAATCGCTAAGAAGTTGTCGCATTAACACAAGTAGTGCCGAATGTTGAGAGGCTTGCGAGCGAGAGTTTCATTGACACGGGACGCCATATTTCGATGTATACGTGTCGTATGACACAAGTGCATTGACCAGATTATGTAGAATGGTGCTGCTATGTTGAACAGTTGTGGGGGCTTCATATGACTACAATAATGGTACCCAAAAATACAATTCCAACTGAATTAATTCAACTGAATCATCAAACTACAACACTTTTGAGTTCTCTGCAACATTTCCAGACAACAACAATGGACTATTTTCCAAGTTTCTTGGAGGACAAAACACGTGTCAACATCGAGAAACTGTTAAGAGTTTCAGTCATGTACAAGGCTTGGAATCATCAAGTAAACAAAAATGATATCGACTCAGACTGACGTACAGAATCTCTATATGCCTAAGCTAAGTCAAGCAATAGCTACAATAAATTTGCTCTGCTTCCACTCGAATATTAACTTCATTAAACTTGTGGAAAGATGGATTACCATTCCGGCAATGCTGAAGATGGAGAGCGCTTGAAGACACTCCCATTCACGAGTCAGAAGTAGAGCAGAACGATATACACTGGGAACCAGGTGCTTGGCAATACAACAAACAATAGCAGAAGGCTCCGCTGATCACGATAAATAAAAGATCAGCCACTTTCAACAGAGAATGGAACTTAGAATCTTATGTTTATATTACAGCAAGGGAACTCGTTAGCTCCACAGTATGTGGATTAAGAAAACCAGAGTTCCTGTTGTTAGATGCTTGAAAAGCATGTCTCCTGATGAGCTGCTATGATGCAGCTGTCCTGCATTAATATATTCGTCTTTGCTAGAAGTTACAGAGACGTTTACTGACATTGAGCCTGTAAAGGAGAAACTCAAAAAATATGACATAGGTATTGGTAACTGGCCCAAAGTTGTAAAGGAAGTGAAACTCGTTATTCAACTTACAATCGTAGTTAGCCCACCCAATCCTTTGGCGAGCCAAGTCATACACAAATATCTTGTCTTTTAGAACAAGATCTGCAATTGAAGAAACGAAAGGTCATCAGATGGCACATTGATGATTAGCATACATGTTTAAGTACTATTCGTAAACACAAATTATGATAATCAATTTCTATCGGATGCTATAGAAAGAAACTGCAGATTGCTCAGAAGCCATTGCAGATTCTTTCGAACTGTTGAAAGCTCCAGCCTGCACAATATGCCATGCAAGCTGCACTTGAAATTTATCATTTACCAACTCAAACCTAAACTGCAGAGCCTTAACCCTTGCTCCGGTTTTTTAAATTTGCCTCTAAACTTTATTCATTTATTAGAAAGCAGCCTAGTTTGAGTTTATAAATCAAATTCAACAGAATAACAAAATGCTCCGTATGTTCTGCACACACAATATGACTGCCAACTTTCGGCTGTAAAGTTAATCAACCAGCCTAAATTTGGGGCCTAACCTCCTAAAATCGTCACCCCTCCCTGAACCTTCTGAAAGCCAATGCACCACATAGCAGCACCTTCCTGTTACAATAGAAATAACCCATTAGATTTACGCCATGTAATTTGCAGTCATGATGTCTAAAGAAACTATTTTAAATAAGAGAGTTTAAAGGAAGCCAGAGAATACTTACAATGATACCTGTACGCATAAGGTACTCCTCTGGTTTCAACACCATCGATGCACCTCCGGCAAAGTTTAGACTAACCGAAGGAAATACATCAGCCAAACTGAAAAATAAAATAGATGTCATTCATATTTATTTATTTTTTAAAACATAAACAGAAAGAAACAAATTGCCACAATTATGCGCACCCTCCATGGTCCACCATTGTTCTTATGGAAAACTTCAAAGATATTTAGACATAGAACCAACCTGGTGGAAACTAAATAACACTGGTTTCCTTTTGAAATGGTGGGAGTCACGGTTTGTGAAGCAGCCGAAGTTATCTACAGATACAATCATAAAATCAGTTCTAAGTACGGAGATGAAATCATTTTGTTTCCATGCAATATTATATCTGATGTCAAATAGAAAGGAAGGAGCAGATATTTCACAACCACATCAAAGTCAAGTTGGCCCCATAAGAAACTAAACCGAGATATGAAATGAATCAAATGACGAAGAAAGAAAGAAAGAATTACAATAGGAACGAAGCTTAACTGTGCCTTAATTAATGTAGCTTCTGCCCATGAAATTACATCATAGATCAAGCAACACAGTTAAAGAAGACTCAAACACCATCAAATTGACCATTTTTTAAAGTGACTCATCTAAAATATATGTAATATATATATATATATATATATATATATATATATATATATATATATATATATATATATATATATTATTTTCCTCTAACAAAATGACTTTTTTCATCCCAATGCTAATGATGAAAATTATTTAAGTGAATTAGCGTATCAAATCAAGTGAACAAACTTACGGCACTAACGAAAGGATCAAACGCTTCTTCCACAAGGTATGACAACGTTGTTCCCGAGTCAACAATAGTTCCTCGACCGTTTGATGTTGTAAAGGCTGCTGGATCGATTGGCAAGGTTTGCCCATTGACAGCGATGCTCTGCAGATTTAAATTGTAATGTGGCCTGAAAATAACAAAAAACAAAACTACATTACCGAAAAAAGTACAGATGAAAGGACAAAAAATAATAACTGTTATAAATCGTTGCAATTAAAAGAACAATATTAAAAGTAACGGTGAGGTTGACAGAGTATAAATTTTTATGTTTGATGTTTCTGCACAGAGAGAAAACTTCCAGACTTCCTTAGTGAAACAACAATCTTATTCTTATCAGATAATGTTAAAAACAAATCACTAGCACAATGGGGATGAATGATGCTGAATCCTATCCAGACATATCAAATAGCCAAGCACTAAAAGTTTAAAAAGCCAAAAGTGATATGACTCAATGTTATCCTTGGTACATAAAATATATTCGGAGTCAAGGTCCATTGCTGACCAAATAAATTGTGTGTTTAAATGAAATACGACAGATATAGAAACACAAAAACACGAACAATGATTTAAATCTGTAGTAGAAATTAATTTCCACTTCATAGACTGGGTTATACTTATATCTTAAAACTTTTAACCTAAATCAAACATCACAACCATAAATAAATTCCAACAGGGTAGAGACATACTGTGACGGGACAAGGGGACTATATACAATGCTTGGCTCCAAAATCTCGCCAAGAACAAGTATACCTCCTCCATTTCCATCTCCCTTCAAGCAATGTGAAAACACTCTGGGAGTCATCCCTCGAGATG